GTGAGGACAGAGGACAACATCACCTGCAGAGCACATGGTAGGTGAGGGAGGTCACGGAGGTTCCCCGCGACAAATTGGGGCGGGTTCCTCTGTGCCTTGGCTTCCTCACTGCTTGGGGGGTGGTGTTGGGGTTGAAGGAGGCTCGTGGGAGCCCCTGCCCAGGAGGCGCCACATGGTTTCTCTGATCCTCACAGTGACCCTGGGGCAGCGCTGTGTGCCCTGCAACCTGGGAAAGGGCACGTGGCTGGAGTGGAGTCCAGGGCAGGGGCTGGGACCCCGTGTTTCTGCCTCCAAAGCCTGTGCCTTCTGCATGGAGCCCCAGCTGGACGGGGTCCCCCCCAAACCAAGGAGGGTTTTCCCAGGAGGGGTGACACCAAGGGGAGCACAGGAAATTCAAGAGCCCCGCCCTGGAAATTCCAACTTCCCTCTCCATCTCCGCGCTCACCCTGAGCCTGACCACGGGGCAGGCAGCCACCCAGTGGTGGGCGTGGGGCTGCGGCTCCAAGGCTCTGCAGGGTTCGCGTCTGGGATGGAATGCTGGGCTGAGGGGCAGAGACCGGCTTTCCCCGCTGCACCCTCTGAAGTCCCTGCAAAAACCCTGGGAGGTCCCTGTGCTGCTGTCTGAAGCTGGTCCTCGGCGATGTGCTAGGCAGGAACAGACATGGATGCGTCCCACAGACCCTCCTGGACTGTCTGCCTCGGGTGCGCGTCAGGAGACGAGGCCCTGGCTCCCTGGGCTGCACGGGGCGTGGATCTAAACAGCAGGGGTACTGGGGCGTGGGGGTGGGACTGGCCCACCTCTTATGTCAAGGAGTGGGGTGGAGTGTCCCTGAGAAGCAGACCTGAGCTCTGAGACCAGAGAAGAGGAGACGAGGGTGGGGTAGGAGGGGGCGGCAGGGCATACCCAGGACCCCGCGGTGGCCTCTGCTGCTGGGACGAGGGCAAGGCCGGGCCCCTTGTCGCCTTCTTATTTGGCAGTAATGATCATCGCAGTGACAGGCGTCCCGGGAAGCTGTGAAGACGGCACAGGCGACACCAGGACGCCCACATCCACACGAGGCGTGTCCCTGTCACGAGCAGTGTCCCGGTCACTGCAGTCAAGATGCAGACCCGCCCCTCCCCGCCCAGCCTCGCCCCAGAAGCCACACACCTGTTCTTCAGCTCCGTAATTGTGTCATTTCAGAAACGTTCAGTGAGCGGACGACACTGCTTGCGTTTTCTATGATGGTGGTGGGTGGGCTGCCGTCCTGGTCTTTTTGCTTGCTCCCCTCTTCCTGTGGGTCGTTGGGCCCCACCTTCCAGACCTGCGGGGGCTGTCTCGGCCTTTGCCTCTCCGCAGCCTGCGCGTCCGTGTGCGGTGGTCCGAGGCGGCCCCTCTGCTTGCCAATCCTCGGACGGCGGTGTGTCTGTGGGGGTGGCGTCCCTCCTGCTCCCCTCTGGGTGAGGGCTCCGCCGGCTGCTCCTCCGAGCCGCCGTGCTGCTGCCACGGTCTCGCTCCTCCCTCGGTGAGGGCGCCGCGACTCCCCTCGCTCCCGGTTCCGTGGTTTTCCCGCAAGTTGCAGACCTCACGGTTGATGGCTTTCTTTGGTCTTACAAACGCCATCCCACTGCCTTCCGGCCTCCACGTTCTCTGACAAGAAAGCCACGTCGCTCACGCTGTTCTCCCTGGAAGGCAAGGAGCGTTCCTCTGCCGCTGCTTCCAAGGTGTCTTTGTCTCTGGTTTTTGGAAGTTCGAGGAGATGGCTGTTGGTTCAATTTGGGGTTCATGCTCCTTAAATCTGTAGGTTTATGTCTTTTGCTACATCTGGGGACCTTTCAGCCCCGCCTGTTTCCTCCTCTCCTCGGGGACACCTGCGAGGACACAAACGCCCCAACGGCTCCCGAGGCTGGGTGTCCCCAGCCTGCTCTCTGGGTCTCAGGTGGGTCATTTCTACTGCTCTGCTTCATGCTCATGGGGTCTCCTCTCTCCCCTGCTTCGCTGCAGAGATATCTTCTGCGCTTTTTATTCCGATTATAATTTAAAAAATTCTAAGGTATCCACGCGGTTCTCCTTCACACTTCGATTTCCTTGCCGAGACTGCCTGTTTTTCATTTGTCTCGAGCACATTCATAGCCGCTCATTGGACCGTCGTGTATGGTGGCTGCTTTCAAGTCCTTGCCAGGAGATTCCAGCATCATGTCACCTGCGTGTTGGCCTCTGTTGACCATGTGCTCCCAGACACAGCTGCTTGCTCTGGCGGTGACCCTGGATGGGGTCCTGCACATTTAGGGGCTGTGGGCTGAGACCCCTGGCTGCATCTCCGTCTTCCAGTCACAGCTGGCCACCTCTGATCCCATGTGGGTGGGCAAACAGGGGGCTGTCCGTTACCTTTGGGTGGGGGCAGGCCCAGCCTCCTGCTTTAGTTCAGTGATTTTTAGAGAGTGAGAAGGCCCGGGCTGCTTCCTCGTCCCCAGGGGTCGCATTCCTGGGGCCGTGGGGTGCAAGGGCCACTCGGCCCCACGGAGGAGGGAGAGGGTGGCCTTCCCCCAGGCCCCCGCCCTGCAGAGGGCTCTCGCTGGGAACATCGTCTGTGACCGGACTTTGAGCCCCGGGGCGACAAGCACCCTCTCTAGCCCTCCTAGGTGTAGGGTGTGCCGTGGGGGCTGGCTTTTCTCACTGCTGTATCCTGTCCCCTCAGCCCCCATCTGACTGCACGTCCACGTGCTCCTCAGGGCAGGTGCCGGCTCTCGGGTCCAGCCCATCTCACTGTGTACATCTGTCACCTACTTGGCCCTGCAGCCGTCCGAGTTTGCAGCCCCAGGACCAGGTGGCGCTGTGCACTCCAGTGCCCCTGGGGAGTGTCTGTGGAGTCTGTGTTGCTACTGTGTCTTCTGTGCAGGGTAATACTGACAGTGACTTGGCTGTGTCCCCAAGGTTGGGGACTCTGAACCCAGGCAGGTCACTGCTGGCACAGAATGGGACAGGAAGTCCAAGGAGGGCTCGCAGGTGGGGAGCGGGCTGCAGTCAGGGAGGCTTCCTGGAAGAGGGGGTAGGAGCTTGGGCCTTGAAAGATGAAAGGTGGTGGTGGGGCGCTCCTGGTCAAGCGTGGGGACAGGCCTGAGGCCTGAGGGCGTCTTTGGAGCAGAAACGCTGGGCAGCTGGGAGAGAAGGCAGGTGGTGGTCCAGGTCCTCTGCCTTCCCTGCTTTAGGCCTTCTTGTTTTGGTAACTGTGCCTGGATTTTCTCTGGAGGACCCACTCCCCGAAGCCACCCCCCCCCCCGGCTCTGGAGAGCTCCCTGTCCCAGACTGCCAACCCTCAGGTTCTGTCCCCTGGCCATGGCGACTGGTTCGAGGGGGCAACATAATCAGCCCACTTCATGGGGGTCCATTCAGGGAATTTTCCTGGGCTTGTGGGAAAGAAGCACCAGGAACTGCCCAGGCTGCCAGGCACAGAGGCCGGCGTAGGCGTGAACCCAGGCGGTGCAGGCAGTGTCCACAGGTGGGAGGGAGAGGGGATGCCATGACCATGCCCCGCTGCTGCTCACCTGACCATGGCCCTGGTAGCTTCAGCCCGGATGAGTCCTGTCTCCTGCGACCACAGCGCCGGCCTGGGGAAGTGGGGGCAGGGAGGAGGCCGCCCCCTGCAGAGGGTCTGCACCTGGACTGAGCCCCTCTCCTGCTTTGGATGATCAGACCAAAGGCTGAGTGCGGGGAGCCCCCTGTGTGTGCCCCTCCATCAGCATCACCTCACCTCTGGCCCCTGTGCAGGCCCCTCAAGCCCCTCTCCACCCAGCGGCCAGAGTGAGTTTCCCAGAATGCAACAGTGACTGTGCCCCTCCCTCTGTGTCCACAGCGGGTGTCTGTGGGCTGTGGCCGGCAGCACTGACCCCACGAGGCTGACGAGGAGGAGCCACAGCGACCCACGGCACTGCACGCTCAGGCAGCCAGTGTGCACGTGTGCGTGCGCACACACCATGGGTGAGGGGCCGAGGTGCTCTGTGTGTGAAGCAAGCCCTGGAGGGTCTGCTGGGGAGGGTCCCACCATCTGTCCTCTGTCCTCTCTCAGGTCCCCCCAGCACAGGGTGGAGTGCTGATGCTCGAGGAGGCCTGCACACCTTCGGGGCCGAGGTGACGGGAGTCGGGATCCAGGGGGGCAGGAGTCAGGGCCACCCTTAGGGCTGGGGTGCCAGCCTTCTGTGCCCCCCGAGCTGCCTCCTTGCCCATCGCGGAGGAGTTCTGTCTTGGGGAGCAGAGAGGCAGAGGCACCCCAAGTCTACATCTGCACAAAGCCCCAAGTCACCAAAATGCAGAAGCAGCCTTGGACCGGCTCCAGAGGTGGGAACTGGAGGTTCCGAAAGACCCTCCTCCCCAGAACCCCCTTTTGGATCCATTTCTAGGTATTGTCCCCTGCCACCCCGCATGCCGTGTGCCCTCCTGAACCGCCTGGGCAACAGAATCGAAACCCAGACAGGAAACCCAGAAACCCAAGGAGGAGGAACCGGAGCCTGCTGACTCACTCACTTCCCTTCCGTGTGCGGAGCGCCTGAAAAGCCCCTGTGGACCCAACTGTGCCCCCCGCACGGTGCTGGGCACGGGGCCCACAACACAGGCTTCCTCAGAGCAACAAATTGGTGCTGGGGGCCCTGCCCCGCATCCCTGCTGGTCACCTTCTTGATGCCTGGTGGTTCCTTCTATGCCCTGGACATGCATCTTCTTCCAAGGGTATGTGTGTTGCAAATGCCTTTTCCTAAATCCTAATTGAATCTCGATATCTCCTCTTTTGTAATTCTTAATGAACAAAAATAACCAATCTTAAGGTAGGCAAGTTGACCTGTGTTATTCATTTATTTTGACGTCTGGTTGAAGAACCCCTTCCCTGGCCCCGGGGCCTAGAGACGCTCTGCTCCACTGCCTTCCAGCAGCCCCTCAGGCCCGGCCCATCTGGCACTGCCGGTCCCGCGTGGTGCGGAGCGGTACCTAGTCAGACTTAGGGAGGGGACCAGGGGTGATGTGCGCGGGAGTCGGGGATGGGGTGGGGTGAAGGGAAGTAACGTAACCTGGAGTAAGTCTTCGGAGAGAATCCACGGGGCAGGGGGCTGCAGGGCCCAGGGGAGGGAAGGGAGTCCCAGAGGACACCAGGGATCCTGGTTGGGCGGCTGTGGGACGTGAGGGTGCCAGGTTGGCCCAGAGCCCAGCAGTCCTCCTGAGCTTCCCCGGACAGCTGAGGACGAGGGCTGGACCTCAAAGCGGAGCGCTGGCTCTGGGGGAATGTTGAGCAGAGTGAGAAGGGCCTCGAGCAGTGTCTGCCTCAGTGGCCCCACAAAGGACAGATGGGGACAGGCCTGGGGCCAACGCAGAGAGCAGGACAGGCATTTTCTCAGGCCACTGTGGTGGTCACATTCGTGCCTCCTCACTGCAGCTCTGCGGGGTCTCCTACGTCCTTCTCTCAGATGAGGAAAGTGAGACTGAGAGTGTGTGGGACTTGCTCACTAACCAGCCACGCCAGGAGCTGCACCCAGGTGTGTGTGTGGCTCAGAAATCCAAGAGCAAGGCAGGACCTGAGGCTGGCTGTGTGTGCCTGCACGAGCGCCTGTGTGTGCACGTGCTTGTGTGTGGCAGGACCACAGGCTGTGGGGCCCGGCCGCCAGGGCTAGCCTTCCGGCCCAGCCGCTGACCAGCTGGGGAGCGTGGGAGAGTCGTGTCACCTCTCTTGCCTCAGTTTACCCGTCTGCAGAGCCCCATGTAGAGGCAGCACCAGATGAGTGCTGGTTAAGTAAATAAGAGTTTTGAAAAAGATGCTTGCCTTCATCCCAGGACATGAATATTAAAGCCACAATGAAAATCCGTGCTCCCCAGCAGAGAGGCAAAGACTCAAGAGGGAGGGCACTAGGTGCGGGCGAGGATGGGGGCTGTGGGGACCCTCCCACAGGACCGCCGGGGTGCAAATGGGGCAGCCGCTTGGGGAGACCGCTGGCATATCCTCCACCAGAGCTACACACCCCTCTCCAGTGACCCTGCTGTCCACCTCTGGGTCTGCCGCCGCCACGAGCCTGCAGGAGATGTCCATTCAGCTCCTTGCGCGGCCCCAAGGGGGAAGGCGTCAGTCGGCATCAGGGGGTCAGACCGCCTTGGAGGGACACCGCAGAGCACCGCTAACGGCCGGCCTGCCTGTCAGCCACCTGGCCCGGCCCTCACCGCGCAGACCGTGTCCCCACGCCCCCAGACAAGCACAGGGGGCGACAAGCGCGAAGTCCCGGCAAGCCAGCCCCGCCGGACGCGCGGGGAGGTGGCCCGACCCACAGGAAATGGGGACCGATCAGCTCAGAAACCAGGACGAGGCTGCGTGAGGCGGGGAGGGGCCGGAGCTCCCCGGGCCTGCGGGGTGACTGCACGGCTCGCCGCAACCCCCGCGGTGCTCGCTGGGGCCCAGCCGGGCCCGCGCACAGGCCCCGGGCCCTTCGGCTGTGTCCGCGGCTCCTGCCGCCTCGCCTCCCCGCGCCCCACCCCGGGCGGCTCTCCCGGCGCCCCGGGCCGCTGCGGGAGCGCAGCCACCTTGACCGCGTCCGGCCCTGCGGGCCCCGCGATCCC